TTAAACTAAAGTACATGATAGAAAAAACAAAATGGTAAGGAATAAAAGGATAGAAAGTTAAAGGTAAGTAAATAAATGCCAAAGGAACATGTTATAAGTTCAACAAATCAAAACTAAAAGTAAGTAAAGCCAGCTAAGAGGTCAGCTGCAAGCATGCAGAAGGGACACTTGGCAGTGTAGTGATCTGGAGTCCAAGGGCCCTGAGCCTTGAGCCAGGCACATGGGGTCCCCAGAGCTAAACTAAGGAGCCTCCTATCCCATTATTCTTCTAAGACCAGAGGTCCCCGGAGGAGGGCCATGGCCTGGGCATGCCCTGGCTAACATGTCTGTGCAGTTAGACCTTCAGGGCTGTGGGAGTCTGATTAACTTGGGTTGTCCCCGATCAACCTGCCACACCCAGGGTCCAGCCAGGGAGCCATTACTCACCTGCTATCACCACTCATCGCCCCACCAGCAGGGCCCTTCTCCACCTAGTGGACATGTGTCCCTCATTCAAGAGGGCAGTAAACTGGGGACCCCATCTATCTCCTTAATATTCAGGGGCTACTTAAGGCCTACATGTCTAAGGAAGTCTTTCTAATACTCCTTCCTAGAATATCTGCTTTTCAAATCTTCAGAGGAGAGCCAAGTTCAAGATCACATGGTGGGCCGGGCGTGGTGGCTCACGCCTGTAATCCTAGCACTCTGGGAGGCCGAGGCGGGCGGATTGCTCAAGGTCAGGAGTTTGTGAACAGCCTGGGCAACATAGTGTGGTACCCTGCCTTTTTTTTTTTTTTTTTTTTTGAGACACAGTCTCGCTTTGTTGCCTAGGCTAGAGTGAGTGCCGTGGCATCAGCCTAGCTCACAGCAACCTCAAACTCCTGGGCTCAAGCGATCCTTCTGCCTCAGCCTCCCAAGTGGCTGGGACTACAGGCATGCGCCACCATGCCCGGCTAATTTTTTCTATATATATTAGTTGGCCAATTAATTTCTTTCTATTTATAGTAGAGACGGGGTCTCGCTCTTGCTCAGCTGGTTTCGAACTCCTGACACTCCAAACTCCCGCCTCGGCCTCCCAGAAGACTAGGATTACAGTGTGAGACCACGCGCCCAGGAAAACACAAGGACCAACTGCCTTTTAAAAAATAAATAAATAAAATAAAAAATCTTCACAGGTTAGACAGGGTGAAACCCTGAGCCTCAGAGGTGGGATACTGAGCTGCCAAGAGGAAGGGAGGACTCTGCTGCTGAATGCCCCTGAGGACTTCAGAAAGGGGCTCTGGGCTCGAACTCGGCTCTGCACTTACCAGCTATGTGCTCTTAGGGGAATGACGCCTCTATGAGCTTTAGTTTTCAATTTGTGAGGTATTATTAGTATACTATTACTATGTGTGACTGTGTGCTCAGTTAATTAGGTCAGGGAATACATTTGGCACAGATGGTGCAGTGTTTTTGTTTAAAAGCCAGAATAATCAGAGATCTAAGGAAGCAACTGGAGGGTGTAGTAGCTACCCAACACTTCAGAACTCACCTTTCTGGGTTAATCCATGAAGTGACTCCAAGGGACATCTTGACTGAGTCTGGTCATAAGCCAAGAAGGTACCAAACTCTGCTTTCAGAGGAAGGGCAACTTACGTCCATTTTTCTCAAGGAAGGATCTTAACCGCTGAGGCTCACTAAGCTTAGAGCTACTTATTGCCCCTTCGAAAAGAGCGATATGAAAGGACGAATTTCTTTCACAACTACCTGGTATATTTCTGAGCCACACAAGTGACTGTGCAATTGTGGTCTCTTCTTCCCCCAGAGAACCCTCAACAGAAGAGGACAGAACTGGTATGTAGGCTGGGGTGGGCACACTCCCACCTGAAACAAAGCCACAGCCAGAGCAACTGCAGAAGGGGCCCACCTCCCTTTAACTTCAAGTCAGGGCAGAAGTTCAGCTGCTCGTCTCAGGGAAGAGTCTGTTTTATTTAGTGTGACATCCACAAACATACCACATTTTAGGCAGAAATCAAGACGTGTTTGGGGGCCAGTGGGGGGGGGCAGAGAAGGGATGAGAGCAAGTCTCTGAGAAAGAAAGGCACAGCACCCAGGTTCTAGTTCTTGACTTTAATGCCCTCCAAGGGTACTGAGGCTCTACACACCAAAGTACTCACAAACAGATACATGAACCCACACAGTAAGTGTTATACTGTGTGCAGAAACCCAACACTGTACAGAAGGAAGACAATGGACCCACATGACCTCCCACACACCAGAAGTGACTGCCTATTCCTACACCCAATCTTTGTTTCCACCTCCCTCAACTCCTTGCCAACCCACCCTTCCCCATTTAATATATACACATATATGTGCTTTGTCAGGATTCCAAAAAGTGCCTCTTCCACCCCAGCTCCCAACACTCCAGCTTCAGATGAAGAAAGCCTCTCTCTTTTAAGGACCATGAGACAGGCACCTCCTTCATGCAAGAGCCCCAGCAAAACAGTACCAAGAAAGCTTCATAGCTTGTATTAGAATCAAATAAAGACAGAAGGTTTACAGAAGGACAATACTTGAAATTCTTACTGGGATCAAGATGCTCAGTGTGAGTAGTGTTTGTTGTTGCTGTTTGTCTTAACTTCTTCAGGATCCAGCCTAGACCTAGATCACACACAGATGTCCACCCCGCTCCGTGTCTTGCAAATACCTATTTCCTAGTCCTCCAGTGGCCACTCAGAATAGGAAGATTCTATCACTTAATCAGCCTGAGGCACAAGGCTCAGACAGCTCCAAGAATACCCTAAGCCCCAGGAAAACAGAATAGAAACTTCTAGAGTACAGTTGTCTGCTTTCTGCATGGTATGCCTGGTGAATAAGGTAGAGGTAGAATAGGGGTTGGGTGACAATTCCTTTCTTCTATTTAGAGCATTAACCAGAAGGATTCCTCCCCCTGGGATGGGATGTGTTTCAGTGTAGTTTTGTTCCAGTCTTGTTTGTTGCTATTAGATTATTTATTTTTATTGAATTTTGTTATGGCTAGCATTGCACCAATATGGTCCTATCTCTTAAAACTTTCACCTTCCCAACCAGTGAGCAGGGTGCCAGGGAAAAAGGTCAAACAAAAGGGAAGCTCCAAAGACAAGCACTTAGGTTTGACTCATCGATAACTACTGGCCTGTCTCAATGCAAAATAAATCTAGTACCTTGTCAACATGAGAGGCATTTATTGACATTATGCACAAGAATTCTATGAAAATATACTTTCTTTTGATCAGGAAAATGCTTTCACCCTTTGGAGTCTTCCTCCATACCCAACCCTTCTTGTGCTCGGGGCCTTAGAGGTAGAAAGGCATCAAACTGGGAGAAGCCACTTCCGCAGGGATGACCCCTTTACTTAGAGGCCATTACCACAAACCACCACATCCAATTACACTTTTTAACCTGGTCTTGGCTTCTCATCAGTGAATGGCCAAATTGGGCCACTGAATGCTTTAACTGCATTTAGAAAGAGCTCTAAGCTGGCTGCCCAGCGTCCTCTGCCTGCTCTTCTGGCCCAGCCTTGTCTCCCACAAACATAGCACTGTGAGGACAACACAGGGGGACAGAGAAACAGGGGTGTCTCCAGCAAGAGGCACAGGGACAGTGTCATTACCCAGCATCCCAGTAACCCTGAGCAAGCCTTCAGGACCTGTTTTTGAGCAGAATCGCATTTGAGCAAACGAGTATCTCCCTGTCTTAATGGTATGGACTCTAAACAACCAAGCACTATGATGTCTGTGGCAGGGGTGGGCAGAAGGGACCAAGGCCAGGTCACTGAAAGCACTGGGCTTAATGATCTGCTCTCTACAGACACGCGCTTCCTCCTCAGTAGTTTGCCTTACTAACTGTCGAAAGACAAACAGGTATTAGGCAGTAGGCAACACTGATCACAGCAACCTAAATGACATGTTTTTCTGTTAGAATAAAGCAAGTGTCAAATTGTTGAGCTAAGCTCCAAGCAGGGTCAACAGCTCCAGAAAAGAGACCACCTATTTGTATACAAGGACAGAGAAAGCACATTATCTTAGAACATGAACAACTGTTCTTTCCTCTTAGACATCAGTCTCTAACTCTGTTCTACCCATAAAAGTGCAACATGAGTGCAAAACCATGTCCTGAAATCTGTTTCCACACAGAGACTAGGGGGTCACTGCCCTCCAGCCCATAGAGGAATTCAGCCAAGGTCCCAGGGCCTGGACTTCTCTTCCTCAGATGGACACAGATGTTTTCAGCAACCTCCTTGCCCCTACCTCACCTAGCTGGTCCTGTAGGTCTGAGACCAATGGGGCTGTCTTCATATATTCTCTCTCTCTTTTTTTTTTAATAGATAGGGTCTCACTATGTGCCTATTCACAGGCACAGTTATTGCACACTACAGCCTCAAACTCCTAGGTTCAAGTGATCCTCTTGTCTCAGCCTCCCGAGTAGGTGGGACTACAGGCAAGTGCCACCACACCCAGCTCTCACCAATTCTTTACATATCAAAAAATCTTCCTTGAAGAATACCCAGGAACAGCCCAACAATAATAATTATAGAGAGACACCCTTAATGCAGCACAGAAATGTTACATTCTGATCAGTGGTATTATATAGCTCTCCTTTAGGAGATGCATGTCCATACCCTGACTATTGGCCCAGGATGCAGACGGGGCAAGAAGGAAATGCAGTGCTAACAAATATTTGTGGATCTTTTTCTGAAATGTGGGGAGTAAAACATAATGGAGGGCTGGGCACGGTGGCTCACGCCTGTAATCCTAGCACTCTAGGAGGCCAAGGCGGGAGGACTGCTCGAGGTCAGGAGTTCGAAACCAGCCTGAGCAAGAGCAAGACCCCGTCTCTACTATAAATAGAAAGAAATTAATTGACCAACTAAAAATATATATACAAAAAATTAGCTGGGCATGATGGCGCATGCCTGTAGTCCCAGCTACTCAGGAGGCTGAGGCAGTAGGATCGCTTGAGCCCAGGAGTTTGAGGTTGCTGTGAACTAGCCTGACGCCATGGCACTCACTCTAGCTTGGGCAACAAAGTGAGACTCTGTCTTCAAAAAAAAAAAAAAAAACATAATGGAGGTTTTCTGTGATCTTGTTACCTCTCACCCAGCCCCTCCTTTACCTTCCCAGGATAGATACTCTCCTAGAAGAATGTTAGCAGGATAAAGCAACACGGTTTAAAAAGGGGGTCCCCTTCCAAAGAGATTCACCACAAATTGGATTCTAACACATGAAATAGCAGCTAAGGAGGTATTCTGAGCCTCTAAAAAGGATGTTACATTTCAAAGGTAACAGAAGATGGAAGGCATTGCCCACCTGACTTAGGAAATTTTCAAAAGGAGTCTTTGAAATTTGCATTCCAGCCCTGTGAGAAGATACCCTGCAGGCAAGGAAGGTTGGTCGAAGGTAGGAGAAGCTGTGGCCCTAAGGCAGGGCTGTAAACATTGTGGTTTTCTAAGGCCAACCTGGTACGTGGCTTCAACAACTATGGTTAAATCTATAAAAGGTGGTGAAGAACATGTTCCAGGAGGAAAAGGTGTCTTTCTACATCCTAAGAATATGGGGGACTATCCTTGGAGGAGGAGGGGTGCGTTGGGAGAGAACTCTTCCTTCTTCAGCCAGAGGCTATGGAGTGGCTACCCAGGAGAATCCCCCATCATATTCCGTGTTCATATCAATATGCTGCACACAAGGTAAGGGTGCTTGAACAGGGCTAAGGGATTACGCCTACATCAGTTTGGTAATGTGGCTCTAGAATGGGCAGAAACTCTCTTGTAAGGTCAAGAAGGTGACAAAACTCTGGACTTCCTGGTCAAGCTCTGGCTAGACCCCATCAGCCTTAAGTAAAGACTGCCATGCCTCAAGGAAAGGCCAAGTGAGCACAGGCCCTGAGCCTGACCCTGAGGTGCAGCTGGGAGACAGGAGCTGTACCTCGGTCCCCTCGGAGCTGTGCCTCAGGACCCTGTCCTCACCTCAGCAGGCTCTGGGGCAGTCAGCAGCCCCTCTAGGGATCTTACTCCCAGAGCCTCACCAAGGGGGCGGGACACCCTCCCTGACAGGCCTCTGTTGCCTACAGGGCTACTCACCACCATGTGATCTTGAACTCATAGATGGGGCGCTTGCAGTAGTAGTGGTTGACGAGGTGCTTGTCACACACCCCGATACACTGGTAGTCCACGGTGAGGCCCTGGGCTGAGAGGTCCGTGTCCAGGCAGTGCAACAGGTCATAAACATCAGCCACAGCCTCCCAGGGCCCGAAAGACACATCCACTTCACAGTGGTGCTCAAAGAGCTGCCCGTCACTCTCGCTCCGCTCGAAGCGCAGGGAGTTGAGGAGTGGACACTCGTAGGGGGTGATGGGCATCTCTTCCTTGAAGACGCAGACCTTGAGCTTGGCAAAGCGGGCCTTCCGCTGTACTGCACGCAGCCGGGCAATCTCCACAATCCGCTCCAAATGGTCTAGGAGGGGTGAACACAGCACCCATCACTGGGGAGGAGGGGCAGCACAGGGCACAGGGAGGGCGCACAGAGAGAGTCCTAGTGACAGCAGGATGCAGAAGGGAAGAGACAGATTTCCTGGGGAAGGACTCAGTGGGCCTATGAAGGGCACAAACTTAAACGGTCGTCATGGTTGTCCAGAGCAAAAAGAAACCAATGGATGAGGACTGTCCCTTTGAAATAAGATTTGCTGACTGTTGTAGGCAAGGTGAGCCCACCTTGACCTGAATCTTCCCAATGTGACTAGGAAGGGAGGACATTTTCTCCCATCTTGAGTACTTGGATTATCCCTAGACCCACTTGTTCTGGTGGAGACCTTGACATGACAGACGCCTTGCAACCCTCTTCCCTCATACCCCGACTGTCCCGGGCAGTTGACACCTCACCTTTGTAATAGGGCATGAGTCCCAGAAACGCCTGGCGCACCTTCTCACCCTTCAGTGGCTGCATGTTCTCCAGCTGCTCCAGGAGGGGCCCGATGGCATAGTACTGGGCCTCTTTGTAAACAGCCCGTACACGCTCCCAGGGAGGCAGGTCCCCTGAGCGTAGGAAATTCAGCACGTCTCTGAGCAGGAAGGAAAGAGGGTAGGTGAGAAGGAGTTAATGGACCTGCGTGGTGCCACACAATGGTTGGACAGAATCTGGAACCAGACTGCCAGCTGTGTAACCATGGGTAGGTTAATCCATCTTGGTGCCTCAGCTTCCTCATCTGTAAAATGGGAGAAAATAATAAGACTATCTAATCATAATGTTATGAGGGCATTAAGTGCTTAGGAAATTCCTAGTACAGAATAAGCCCTCGATAAGTGTTGTTAGTTGCTATTATCAGTATGATTATTATTACTACTATAATTATATTATTAGGTATAATATTATTAATAGGTATTACAGATATAATGGAAAGATATAACATCTAGCCCCTTTACATATATATAGTTTTGGGGTTTTTTTGTTTTTTTGAGACAGAGTCTTGCTTTGTTGCCCAGGCTAGAATGAGTGCCATGGTGTCAGCCTAGCTCATAGCAACCTCAAACTCCTGGGCTCAAGCGATCCTCCTGCCTCAGCCTCCCGAGTACCTGGGACTATAGGCATGCGCCACCATGCCCGGCTAATTTTTTATATATATATATATTAGTTGGACAATTAATTTCTTTCTATTTATAGTAAAGACAGGGTCTCGCTCTTGCTCAGGCTCGTTTCGAACTCCTGACCTCAAGCAATCCACTCGCCTTGGCCTCCCAGGGAGTGCTAGGATTTATAGGCGTGAGCCACCACGCCCAGCCACATATATATAGTTTTAAACTGAGGTATAATATAATAATAATATAAATAATAATTCAATAAATATACAAATATTAATTGTATAGTTCAATTATTTTTTAAGTGTGAATATACTCACCCAACCACCCCTAGATCAAGTTATTAAATATTTCCATCTCCTTAAGATTTCCTAGGACCCCATCCCAATCTCTAGAGAAGCACCCATTCTAACTTTTCCTTCTATTAATAAAATTAGTTTTGCCTTTTCTTGAAATTCACATAAATAGAATCATACTATATGTTCGCTTTTGTACCTGGCTTCCTTCTTGCAACATAATGCTTTTGAGATTTATCCACTATGTTATGTGTAACACAGTTTATTTCCTTGTATTATTTGTTTGTTTTATTATTATTATTATTATTTTTTTTTGAGACAGAGTCTCGCTTTGTTGTCCAGGCTAGAGTGAGTGCCGTGGCGTCAGCTCAGCTCACAGCAACCTCAAACTCTGCGCTCAGCGATCCTTCTGCAGCCTCCCCAGTAGCTGGACTACAGGCATGCCCCCATGCCCCGGCTAATTTTTATATACATAGTCAGTTGCAATTAAATTTCTTTCTATTTATAGTAGAGACGGGGTCTCGCTCTTGCTCAGGCTGGTTTTGAACTCCTGACCTTGAGCAATCCGCCCCGCCTCGGCCTCCCAGAGAGCTAGGATTACAGGCGTGAGCCACCACACCCGGCCTGTTTTTATTATTGATTATATTAAGTAGTATACCGCTATATGAATATACTATAATTTATTTACCCATTTGGGTTGTTTCCAGTTTTTGGCTATTATGAGTAGCTGCAATGAACATTCCTGTATAAAACATTTTGTGGGCCAGGTACAGTGGCTCATACCTATAATCCTAGCACTCTGGGAGGCCAAGGCAGGAAAATTGCTTGAGGCCAGGAATTTGAGACCAGGCTGGACAACATAGAGAGACCTTGTCTCTACAAAAGAATTAAAAGTTAGTTGGGCATGGTGGTGCACACTTGTAGTCCTAGCCACTTGGGAGGCTGAGGCAGGAGGATCACTTGAGCCCAGGGCCTAGAAGTTCAAGGCTCACTTGATCACTCCAAGGCACTCCAGCCTGGGTGACAGAACAAGACCCTATTTCTAACAAAATACCAAAAAAAACCTTTTGTGGAAATAAGCACCAATTTCACTTGGTAAGCGTTAGGACTAGAATTGCTCAGTCACAGAATGAATGTATGTTTAACAAAGTGGTTGTAGCATTTCTACATTCTCATAGGTAATGTAGAAGAGTTCTAGCTGTTCCTCATCCTCACCACCAGTATTATTCTATAGCTATATGAAAAAGATTAAATGCCTAACCATAATGTCTGAACAAGTTGGTTCCAGGACTGAATAAAATTACATATTGCATTTTCTTAAAATAAAAATTCAGTCTTTCTAATTCACTTTTCAGATTCTTTACTGCTAAGAGTAGTCAGACTCATCACTGGTAGCAGTAGAAGGGAGTAAACCCTAAGATCAGGCTGTTACTAAAGTAACCACAGCTTAGCCTGTGACCCTAATACGACACCAGCGAACGAACACTCACTAAGAATTAATATTAATCTGTGTCAGCCACTATTTGTGTGTTATCCCATTTAATCCTTTCAATGACATTATATGGTGTGTGCTATCTTATCTCCATTTTATAAATGGGGCCCAGAGAGGTTAGAAACAGCCTTGCCAGAGGCTCAGATCCAGACCTGGCTGACTCTAAGCCCACACCCACAATGGTCCAGGCTTCGGCAGAAGCGTTCAGACCAAAGTGTGGTATGTTGATCACGATGGGGACTGTCCCAGGTAGAGGCTCAAGCAGCCTCCATGGTGGGTGCTGGGGGTACCTGAGCTGCACTAGCAGACAAATGCATCCCACCAACTGCCCTGAACCTGTTATTTTATGATTCTTTCAACAACTTCATCTGCTGCCGATGAATCACAGGCCACTGGAATCCAGCAGTCTGAGTATGAATGCCACCATATCCTGCTTTCTGTCACGTCCTTGCCTGCTCTGTCACTCTCCTGCTGTGCCACGTGGGCATAGGCACATCAGCCTTGAGTCAAACCCTGTTTCCCCTCTTTACAGTCCCTGTTAAAATTACTACTCGAGGATCTTCAGCAAACCTTGGTGAGCTCGAAAAATCAAAACCCTGGGGTAAAGCCCAGCTAAGAGAGCTGTGGGAGCTGCCAGCTGGGGCCAGCACTTTCCTCCCCCAAACAGCCTGCAAACAAGAATCTTTTTATAGTTCTGCAGAGCGATGTGACACTTTGTTTTCTCAGCATTGGAGGCAGCTGACAGCCCACTGGGGAAACCCAGATGCTTCACAGCAAATTATTTGACCTGAGGCTCCTTTCTGAGGATAAAAATGACCTTTTCCCACAATGTGGGCAATCCTACTTGGAAGCCAGCACAGAGATGTAGTGGTTTAGAGTTTCTGCCTCCCTGGTCATTTGATTCAAGGTCAAGGACCATGTAAGTTCTCTAGTTATCTCCAAACTTAGACTGAAGGAGCAGAGAGTTCTAGTGACACACATTGAAAAGGACCTGGCCAGGGGTCACACTAAGGCTCTTTATTTAATCCTCATTGACAGGCCTGTGAGGCAGCTATAATTATTTCTCATTTTATAAACAAGGAAACTGAGATATAAAGTCTTTAAATTGTTTATGTGTAAGATTATCAGAAGTACTTTCTTGGGAAAGGTTATTATTAACATTATTTTTAGAGATGCGGTCTCACTATGTTGCCCAGACTGGAGCGTGGTGGCTACTCACAGGTGCCATCATAGCGCACTGCAGCCTTGAAACCTGGGCTCAAGTGATCCTCCTGCCTCAGCCTCCAGAGTAACAGGGATGATGAGCACGGTCCACCACACCCAGCAGATTTTTTTTGTGTGTGTGTGTGATTGTGTTTTCCCATGTTTTAGTGTTACAATAACAGGAACAGAAGGATTTTTTTTTAAAAGAGACTTTTCTTGGCAAAATTAAAGGATGGCAACCTGTGTCAGCCCTTCCTCAACCTTTGTTGTTGTTGTTTTATACTACTGAAAGAAGTTTGGGAACCACTGCTACACCACATGCTACCTCCCCATGGCAATGTTGAGCCCCAGAATCTAGATCTGAAGTTATTCTCTGAGAAGTTGTTTTAGACTCCTCCTCCCTCTAGGTGGGATCACACCTATTTCTCTTCACACAGATGACAACTTCCTGATCTCAAATTGCCTAGGATAGCTGGATACAGTGGTATGCATTTAGCCATTTGGGAGGCTAAGGCAGGAGGATCGCTTGAGCCCAGAAGTTTGAGGCTGCAGTGCACTATGATCACATCTGTGAATAGCCACTGGACTCCAGCCTGGGCAACACAGTGATACCTTATCTCTAAAAAATATAAAAATTGAAAAAACCTAAAAATAAATTTAAAAATAAATAAATGAACAATAATAAAAATTTTTAAATTGCCTAGGATAGAAGCAGTTTCCTTATATCCAGCCAGTGTGAGTAATTTGGAATTTCTCTGGCTGTCCTTGTCTCCTTTGGCAAAGAAACTAGGCATTTTGATCCAATTCAACAAGCAAATTTATTAAATTCCATCAATATGTTCTCTCTTCTTCTAGGTACTACAGAAATGCCAAAGTCCCACATCCAAGCCCAGGCTACTCATTTGCTAGGACTACAAAGTTGACTGTAGAGCAAGAGACATACCCAAAGTGTGTACCATCTCGGTCAATGAAGTACCGGCCTTCAGAGTCCGTGGGGATGTAATGGCGCCCGCTGAACATGGCTGCCAGCATGGTATCTTCGTAACGCCGCAAGGTAGACAGGCGTGTAGTGAAGTGAGCCCCTCCAATGTTAAGGGGGACAACCTCAGGAAACTGGAAAGGAATCATGGGGCTCTCAGGCAGGCAGGGGGGAATGAGAGGCAGGGCTGCTCCATCTTCAGTCTTCTCCAGTCTGATTAGTGCCAACCATTCGCTCACTCACCCAAGCCCAGAGGACCCTCTGAACACATTATCTTCTCTCTCCTTCCTCTTCCCATACTCATCAATTGCCAAGTCCTACTGCTTCTACCCCTCATAGCTCTTAAGTCAAGTCTCTCTACCCCAACCCCACTATCTCTGCTCTAGAGCTCAAGCCTTCATTGTCCTCCTTCCACTTCCTGAATTTACCCTTTGTGTCCTTGCTCACGCTGTCTTCTTTGTCCAAAATGCACTTACCACTCTCCCTCTGCCAATAAAGCAAAGCAATTGCCCCATATGGTGGTATAGGTTGTTTACTGTATAAGGGCACCTGGATGAGTGATCTACTAACCCAGCTATGTGGCCTTTTTCTAATTTACACCAAGGCACCATATAGGTTAGCAGCATCCACTCATTCTAGAAGTTTCCATTCAAGTTCCCCTTCTCTGTGAGCTCTATTGTCCTTCACCTGCCCCTAAGATAGAGTTAATGACATACTCCTCCACTGTGCCTTCATGGTGTGCCACACTTTCCTCTATTGTAGCACCTAGCACAATGCACTGGCAATTACTGGCCTCTGTCAACACACTCCACTAGGCCCCAAGCCTCCCAAGGGCAGGGAAAGCATCTTGTTTGCCAATCGTGGGGCTGCCACAGCAGAGCTCAGTAGATGCGTGTTGAAGGATTCCAGGCAACCAGTCCTCTCTTACTTCATCTGTGGAGTAAGATTAGTCTCCAGTCCAGCTAAGGTTCTGGAGGCAAGGGCTGGTAGAAGAACAAGAAAACGATGGTGTAGATGTGCCCTAAGAAGCTCGGGGTTTCCCCTAAAATGCTCAAGATTTTTTTTAAATGTCTTTCAGTGCTTGTGGTTTCTATCAAACTGTATCTGAAAGAAATGAGGTCGGTTTCAGTTCTCTCTAATTTTCCCACAAACTTCCTCCAGATCAACTAAAATTTTATCCCAGTGCATACTTTTCAATATTACATATCTTTCACTCCAGTGGAAGTCTATGTATATTTATCTAGACAGTCCCTTTTCCTAGCTTTCAAATCCTTTGTGAAATAAAGTAGGGTACAAATACATTAGGGGAAACCTACCCGGGGCGTTGCTCATTGTGAGATCACAGTAAAGATCCAAAATGCATTGAATGAATGAATGAATGAATGAAACAGGTGTTTACAGTTCTGTGTATGAGTATGTGTTACTCTTCTGCACCTAGAACATGTGTAAATGCCTTTTGCTTATTCTACAGATCCTTAGAAAACATTCTGTGTGTATATCAAGGACTCAAATATTGTTTTGGAATAATAATACTTTACATTTCTGGATCTCTTTAAACCTTTTCCAAAGATATTCATACCAATCCAATTGTTTGCTCCATATTAGAGATTAGAAGGTTGAAGTAGAGAGGACAAAAGTCATCAAAAAAACAGATTTAGAGCTCACATGGAGCAATGTAATTGGTGGGGGAGCTGGCCCTGGAGCTCAAGCCTGCAGTCACTCTCTCAAACTACATCATTTCCCCAATGACAGTATACAAAAAATAGCACCACTGGGTCTCTTTTTTTTCAATTGCAGAGAGTACTTCTAGAATTTTGCTCATTTTCACAAGTTTCCCAAGACATTGGGGTATAGGGCTTACAACCCTGACACAACACTATCTGCCCAAGAGCCTCACCCAGCCCAGCTCCCCTGGGCCTCTGCCCACTGTCCTGGGACTCCACACATCACATGCTCCAGGATCCAGCACTACCTTAGCTAGACTCACTCTTCAGTGTCCAGCAAGGCCCCACCTTCCCTCCTCTTTTCCCTTCTCTTGAGGGTAATTTCAGGTATTCAACATGATAGTATCACACACATTAAGTAAGAGCAGTGGAAGCCACGGTGCATCACAACACAGCAGCTAGTGAGCAGAAGCCATGAGGTTGTCAGGTGAGCATGGACACATTTATTACTTGGCCAGCTCCTTATCTGCAGATGGCTCCTGGTCCCATTCCCTGGGCAGCTGGGTGTGAGCAACCACCAAGGCCTCCTCTTGGATTATCTAGAAGACACCATCATCTCTTGGGGCTCCAGGGTCCCCCTCCCATGACCTACCCTCCCTCCTCTAGTTGGTAAAGGTGGGACATAGGGAAGGGAGCAAATCAACCTTGCAGGCAGTGTGTGCTGGAAGGAGGGGTTGGAGGGCCAGGTGTCTCCAGGGTCAGGGAAGACACACCTGGTGCATTTTACAGGGATGCGGGTGAGGAAGCACAGCTTCTCGGGCACCGCCCTCTGCCCGCCTCCGGACCTCGGCCCTGGCCCCGCGCTGCTCCCCTCCCAAGGTCAGCTCTGCCCCGCACCCTCCCCACGCCCCCCTCCGTCCGTCCAGGTACCTCCTGGGGCAGCAGGGGCAGCGCGTGCCCCGCCTGCGTGGCCGTCGGGGTGGCCGGTTCCAGAAAGTCGTCTTCGGCGTCGGAGCTGGACATGGCACCGTCCGGGCGACGGCTGTCTGGCTCCCGCCCCGTGACTACCACCATCCCTCTGGCTCTGGGCAGTGGGCGCGGCTTCGGGCAGGCGAGCGGCGGCGTCGTCCCCGGGCACTACCGCCGAGCAGCGGCTGGCATGACGCGGCCCGCCGCGCGGGAGGGGCCGAGAGCCGGAGCGCGGGCCGGGAGGGCTGCGGCTTCCTCAGCACCTACCCGCTCGCGGACCACCTAGCCGACCGCCGGGGCGCGGGCCTGACCCGGTCGCCTCTCACTATTGGCTAAGCTCCTGCAGGCTCCGCCCTGATTGGCAGGACATTCTCCCTGTCGCAGAGTAGGCAGCGCGTTTGGCCGGCGTCCCAGTGGCCATTGGGAGCCGGGCCTGCTGGCCTGCCCTGCTCTGATTGGCTCTCTGGCCGGCGGGCACGCCCCCTCCAACGCCGATCCCCCGCCTGGCTAGGCAGCGCGGGGGCGCGCCTTCGCCGCCTCCCTGAAGCGGGCCTAGGATGCTGCTGTGAGGACCGCTGCCGCGGCTGCGTGGGCGCCCTGTGACTGAGACGAGCGCTCTCGTCTTGCTCGTTCGTGTCCTCCAGGGAGGGCCCGGGCAGCCTTTCCTGGAGGATGTGACTGGAGGAGGACCGAGGCCGCCGGGAGGGAGGCAGCGCTGCGACCGCGGAGGGCCCTCTTCAGGCCGCCAGGCACCTCGGCTTTGCCGTCCTTCCCCACTGACTCGAGCAGGGATCCGAAAACAAAACTCAGAATAGGAGCAGTTGAGTTCAATTACTAATGACAGAGACTCCCCACCGTGACTGTCTGCCACCGGGCGCCAGGACACACAGGCGGGACCGGGCTGGGTGCGGAGCCGGGACTGACCCTTATGTCTGCGTCCTGCGGGCGCTCGGGTCAGCTCTGGGTCTCCCAGGATCAAGGCTTTTAGCCCTTTGAAACCATTTCAGAGTTCAGAGTGCTAACTATTACACGATGGAACCACGCGACTCTTTGAAACCATTTCCACACCCAGTTCCTCATCAGAGTCTCACATTGTTGTGACAGAAAAGGAAACTGAGGCCTGGAAGGTTGGACAGCTTCAGGGAGGTTAGAGATGAACAGGTGGCACAGCCCTTCCTCTGGGGGACCATGACACCCCCAACCTCAGGAGTCTCCCAGGTCGGTGGTTTCTTCAATTCTAGCTGCATCCAGTCCACTGGAGGGGGCCTTGTTAAAACATGGAGTCCAGCTGCACCCCCAGAGAACCTGATTTGATCAGTCTGGTGCGAAGCCCTTTGCAATTCTCATTCCTGACGAACTCCAGGGCAATTCTGATGCTGCAGGTGCACGAACCACACTCTGAGTAGCACTGCCCCAAAGAAGGCCCCCTGAAGGCCTCTTCTTATCTACCTTTCTCAAAAATACCTGTAACAAAATTGCCTCTTTCCATCCTGATGACAATTAGAATGTTTCAGCTGTGAAAGAAACCAGAACCAAAGTGGTTTACATAATGGAGGGGATTTTATTATATTACAGAACAAGAAGTCTGAGCAGACCCAGGGTTGGTTCATTTAGTAACTCAACAAAGAGTTCCTTGGACCAGCTGGCCCCTCCACCCCTAGAAAACCACAGAGCTAAGAGACAATTTTTCCAACATCCTACAGCAAGGCTGTGTAAAGAAAATGGGAAGGAAGCCCCAGAGGCTCAGGAAGGGGGAAGGTCTACATGCGATCAGTTTTACATTGTTTAATGTGTTAGAGTTTTCATCTTCCATTTCTAGTGAGAATTTATTTCCTTTAGGAATGTATGTAGTTTCCCATTTGGTTTTGTTTACACACTGTGGGGAGATCCAAGGTCAGCAACTTGCTGAGTGAGTAGGAAGGGGTTGGACCTGGCCTTCCATGAAGGCAGGGTTGTTTGCTGGCAGCAACTATCCCCGGCTTTCAGTGGAAGGACTTCCAGGCCAGCTCTCGGGAGGGCTGCAGGGACAGGTCAGGGAACATTTGAGGGCAGGATGGGTGGTATTTGCCCACGCAGAGTGGGGGCTTCTCTGAGAACAGGAAGTATGGCTCTGGGATTTAATGCTCCTCCAAGAGCCACACGAACAAATAGTCCTACAAGCATCAGGCCCTGAGATGAGTAAACTGGGTTTTGTTGTTTTCCGCCACGCCTCCCCAAGCAGAACTTTTGAGTGCTGGCAGATCTTCAAAGTGCTGATTCAGTTTTGGAATTTCCTCTCCTGATTTTAATTTATTGAATACATATTTTATTAATAACGACAATAATGGAAATGAAAATAGGAACAGAAGCATCCACCTTCTTTTAGTTTTAACTTTGATTTAAATATTTTAGACATATTTTAGACATATAAACAATTATAGATCATAACACATGAAAACTCATGTACTGTACTTATCTCCCGGCTCATGAAACACAATATTACAAACACAATTAGTGCATTACTTTCTAATCTCTTTCCTCTACCTTTTATTCCTTTATTTTTATTTATTTTTTTTTTCCATTTTCAGTTGGCCAATTAACGTTTTTTTATTTTTTATTTTTAGTAGAGACGGGGTCTCGGCTCTTGCTCAGGCTGGTCTTGAACTTCTGAGCTCCAACGATCCACCCACCTCGGCCTCCCAGAGAGCTAGGATTACAGGCGTGAGCCACAGCGCCCGGCCATCCCCTACCTTTTAAATGTGATATGTATCATTCCATGAATGGCATGCATGTTTTCTTTTTATTTGGGATTTAAACAAAAAAGTACAAAATCATATAGGTACAGTTGAAGAATAATTATAAAGGAGATACCCACATAACTTCCACCCAATCAAGAAAAACAGAACACAGCCAGCTCAATGAGCTCCTCCCTGATGAAGATGATTCAATTCTCTGAGAGGTCACCACTATCCTTACTTTTGTGACAACCATTTCTTTGTTTTCCAAGTTTAATCACCTGAATATCCCTCTCTAAGCAATGTAGTTTGATGTTTATTTTGGACTTTATTTATTTTTTTGAGATGAGGTCTTGCTTTATTCAGCCAGCCTAGAGTGCAGTGGCATGATCACGGCTCACTGCAGCCTCAAACTCCTGGGCTCAAGTGATCTTCCTGCCTCAGCCTCCGGAGTAGCTAGGACTACAGGTGTGTACCACCATGCCCAGCTAATTTTTTGTAGAGATAGGGCCTTGCTATGTTGCCTAGGGTTGTCTCAAACTCCTGGGCTCAAGAGATCCTCCCGCCTTGGCTTCCCAAAGTGCTGGGATGATAGGTGTGAGCCACTGTGCCCAGCCTTGTTGTTGGACTTTAAATGAATGGAATTCATTCAGTGGTTATTATCCATGCTACTGTTGATAAATATTTAATCCAGTGTTGCACTATGAAAAACTATGCTGCTATGAACTTTATATTTATGCCTTATGCTGCCCTGAACATTTTATATCACATTGTGTCACTCTCCCATTTAAAGCTCTTTAAAGAGAGCCTTGTTTCCGGAGAGGGGTAAAGAAATCACTTGATTCTGAGTGAGGTGAGAAGAATAGGCAGCAAGGAAGAGAAAAGTGCAAACATTCTGTCAAGGAGTTTTGGTAGCACCCAGAACTCTCATGCTTCCCAAGTTTTAACTCTAATATATCAACCTTTGATCACTAGATTCTATCCTTCCATCTCTGTCTCAAGGCCTGGTTTACCTGCTTAAGGTTGATAGTCTTGAATCCTTTGTTTTTTCTTTTTTTTGAGACAGAGTCTTGCTTGTTGCCCTGGCTAGAGTGAGTGCCATGGCGTCAGCCTAGCTCACAGCAACCTCAAACTCCTGGGCTCAAGCAATCCTGCTGCCTCAGCCTCCAGAGTAGCTGGGACTACAGGCATGCGCCACCATGCCCGGCTAATTTTTTCTATATATATTTTTAGTTGGCCAATTAATTTCTTTCTATTTTTAGTAGAGACGGGCTCTCACTCTTGCTCAGGCTGGTTTTGAACTCCTGACCTTGAGCAATCCTCCTGCCTTGGCCTCCCAGAGAGCTAGGATTACAGGCGTGAGCCACCTCGCCCAGCCAGGTAGTCTTAAATCCTTAAGACTGATGATTCCTTGCCCTCTCACCCTTTCCCCCCAGGGATCTAATCATTTGACTTTATTTTCTCCCCTATCTTACCAAGATCCAATTATGTGTCCATTTCAACACCTTTCTTGGGAATGCCCTCTGTATTTGTTCCCTCTGCCTTCTCTAGCACCTGAGAGTTCTGCAAACTCACAACCTTGTATTAACCTATCAATACCCTGTGCTCTGTCCTGGGCAAGAGTCACCACCATGTGAACTGGTAGCTTTACAAACACATGATTGACTCACAGTGCCCTCAGGGCATGCTGCCAGTGTTCTAGGCAGCTCTCGTTTCTACTCCCAACCTTACCATTCTTTTCACGACCCCTTCTCCTTCCAGGAAATCCCCTCTTCCTCCAGCAAATGGCAACTTGGCTTTTATGGTGCAGAGAAATGCAGGCTTTCAGGCATGAAGAACTCCTTCCAACTTCCTATCACCTCACCCTGCAAGTTCACTTTATCTGCAAAATCTCCCCCTTCCCCCCAGCTTTAAGAAGTTTCTCTTCACTGGGTTTGGGGCTAATTCCTCCAACTGTGCTCTTGCTGCCTTTCTTTCCCAGGACTTACTCCATCAGTTAACGCTTCTGTCTCCTGTATTTTCAGTCTCTCCCTCTATATTGTTTTCCTTGCTATAGCATATTCTATGTGTCACTTTCTCCCATTATATACATATTTTTCACTTTTTTTAATATACATATTTTTCACTTTTTTAAGATTATTAAATATAGGGTCTTGCTCTGTCACTCAGGCTGAGTGCAGTGGTGCAATTATAGCTCACTGCAGTCTCAAACTTCTGGGCTCAAGTGATCCTTCCACCTCAGCCTCCCAAGTAGGTAGGACTACAGTCATGTGCCACCACGCTTGGTTAATTTTTAAACATTTTTTGTAGTGATGAGTGTCTCGCTATATTGCCCAGGCTGGTCTTGAATTTCTGGTCTCAAGCGATCCTCCCACCTTGGACTCCCAAAGTGCTGGGATTACAGGTGTGAGCCACTGTGCCTGACCTAACTTTCTCCTATTGTAAATGAAAAAACTCTTCCTCAATCCTGCATCCTTCTCTAGGTAGCACATCTTTCTCTGTTCCTTTCTAGTCAATATTCTCACAGGAATAGTTCACACTGGTTTCCTCTTCTTCCTTACCCCCATTGTAAATTAG